ACTGGGAGACACAGGGAGACATGCGGACACTGAGACACTAGGGGGACTGGCTGGGAGACATGTGGACACTGGGAGACATGGGGACACAGACATTTGGGGACACTGGGAGACATGGGGACACTGAGACACTGGGGGGACTGTCTGGGAGACATGTGGACACTGGGAGACATGGGGACACAGACATTTGTGGACACTGGGAGACATGGGGACACTGAGACACTAGGGAAACTGAGAGACATGGGGATATAGACACTGGGAGTCTAGGGGACACTGAGACAATAGGGACACTGGCTTGGAGGCATGGGGACACTGTGTCCCATGTGTGTCTGTGTCTCAGTGTGTCTCCCAATGTCCCCATGTGTCTCAGCATCCCCATATCTCACAGTGTCCCCTAGTGTCCCAATGTGTCACCTAGTGTCCGCATGTCTCCCTGCTGCCTTTCCCCCCATACTTCACTTACCTGGCCTGTAGTCTGTCTCTGCAGGCTGGGAACTGCTGTCTGGACTCTGGACTCTCTGTGCTGTGTAGCTGCTCCCCTGTGGATCAGTGAGTAGAGAGAGGCAGGGAGGGAAATCCTGTAACTTCCTATCCCTGCCTCTCTCCACACACAGTGACCCCTACTGGTTAGTGCTGGTATTACAGAGTAATATCCGTTTATACTGAGAAAAATACCTGCATTTGTATTTTTTTTTTTTTTAAATGGGCCTATTCCATGGGCCTGGGCCTGGAGCTGCAGCTCCATCAGCCCCTATGTTAATCCAGCCCTGCCTACCCTATTGCATTAACCCCCCATCAACCCTGTCAGACTCACCTTCTCTTGTCACACTGTCACTCTCACCCCCCGACCCTGTCACTCATCCTCTATCAGTCTGTCCCACTCACCCCCATCACCCTGCTACACTCACCCTATTACATAAACCCTTACAATCCTGTACTCCAGCTGTGCAACACTCACCCCAAACCCTGTCACACATAGGTAGACAATGTCAGATACAGTCATATATACATACACCGCCACTTATGTATATATGACTGCAAGGCTATGTAACCATACCCCTCAGTCATGTATAAACGATTGGCATAATTGCTAATTAAATTTGTTTATTGCAAATTAAGTTAGTTTGCATATTATGCCATAACTACAGTCAGAGATATCATAATGCGGCGGCACAGGGAGCCGCAACACTGCAAGCCTCTGAACGATGAATACAGAGACTAGCTCTCTGTATCCAGCACTGCAAGCTTGTCCTTAAATACAGCAACTGTCACGGTTCTCACCGTGACATCCCGACGGCCAGACGAGGTCGCCCCAGAAGTGCCCGATGACGGACTTGAACCAGGGTACTTCGCAGTCCTGGGGCTGCTACTTTGCCACCATATCAGCTCTAGAAGTCTATCTTGCCTTGTACCCAGCATTGGGGGCTGGACGTTATTCTGTGGCTGCTCCAACGATCTCAGCACACCTGTGGCTGATCACAAATTAGCCAGGTATAAGACACTGCCTCTCCCTGAGGGCAGTGTCAGTTCATTGACTCTGGTTCCCTTGTTTGGTTCCTGTCTTGCTATATCTGCGTTCCAGTATTTCCTGTCTGATTCCGGCTTCTGACCTTGGCTTTCCTCCTGGACTACTCTGATCTCTGGCTTCCTCTGACTTTGGCTTTCCGTGACTACGATTCTGCTAATCCCTGCTGTACTGCTACTTGGAGCACTATTCCTGGAAAGCACCCGTGCACAGACTCACAGATCAGGTGGCGTCTTACCTGGTCACCCTGGTCTGTGTCTACTTTGCAAGTGTGAGCGTATAACTCTGCGAGCCGGACTCCCCATCAGGTAAGAACCTGACAGCAACAGCACCTTATACACACAATGCAACCCCTATTTTTAACTTTAGGTGTTAGTGGGGGCCTCATGTTTGAGTTTCGCCTAAGGCCTCACAAAGTCTAGAGCCGCCATTGGTCTCGACCAACCGGTAGGCCCCGAATCAGAACGTGGGCCCCCTAAATGGCGGAACGTGAAACGTTGATGGAACGATAGGCTAGTCTTGATGAAAACAGATGAGATAAAAAGTTCAACACTATGGGACTAGGTGCACTATAGGGATCCGAGTCTCTTTCCAAACACCAGCCAGTCCCATGAGTCCCATAGCAAGTCTCTAGTGACCTGTGATAGGCCGTCGACCGACCAGTATACCCTGAAATCGTCCAAGCCACAAGTTCCAGACAGTCTTGGAGGATGAGGGGTGAGGTGCCCCCTGCGTGCCGATCAGGAGATGAGGGAACGAAGGAATGAGAAGATAGTTCTAATAGGTCCGGGAACCAAACCTGGCTTGGCGATAACGGTGCGATGAGGGGCAGAGAGGTTCCCTGAACTCGAACCTGGTGTAGGACTCGCCAATATGAAGAACGGAGGAAAGGCATAAGCTCCTCTCAATGGCCATCTCTGGAGAAGTGCGTCCACTGCTTCGCATTCTTGATCTGGAAGCCAGATGAAGAACCTGGGAAGTTAGCGATTGTTCCGGAAGGCGAATAGGTCGAGTTGGAACAGGCCCCTGCAGTCGACTAGTCGGTGAAGATTGTCTCTTGGAAACGCCAGTGGCTGCTGTCCCTTCAGTGTCATGAGGACTAATCTACTGTGCAGTTGGATATCCTGGAAGGTATTCTGCCTGCAACGTGATGTTGCGGGATAGACAAAAACTGTAGATGTCTATGCTCGCTTCCGATAAAGTCTGTGAGTGAGCACCGCCCAGGCGGTTGATATATTGAATCCATGCGCAGCAGGATGCAGCAATTGGTCATGTTACGAGCCAGGCTGTGAATGGCAAAGGCCCCCGCAATCAGTTCCAAGCAGTTGATATGTAAATCGGTCTCTTCGCCCAAACAAGGTCCTCCGGTGGATGAGTCCACACAGTGTGCTCCCCAGCCCCAAAGGCTGGCAGCTGACTCCACCACGAAATCCGTTGATGGGCCCTGCATATGTAGGAGCCAACAACAGAGTTCAGTCCGTACTTGAGCGGTATCTTCTGTTCGTACGAGCTGTCGGATTGCAGGTAGTGTGCCTTCAGTCTCTGCATGACCCGAGAGTGGAGAGGGCCCGGGTAAATTGCTTGTATTTAGGCCGAGAGGAGGCTGATAATCCAAGCCAGAAGTCTTAGAGCAACGTGTTCCATGCATACAATCTTCTGAATTTCCTTCCGAATGGCCTTTATTATCTGGAGTGGTAGGCGTAGCACACACTACCTATCTCTCTCGAATCCCAGGAATTGGATGATTTGAGTCGGCACCAATGACGACTTTTCCTGGTTGACTATGAAGCCCAAGGATTCGAGTAAGCATGCAGCAAAGTGCGTCTTACCCCATAGATCGGAGACGAGCCATGATCAGTTTCAGTAGTTTTCTGAAACCCTATGGGGCCGAGCTGCGCCCGAATGGGAGACAAGTGAACTGACATGGCCAACCTCGCCAATGGAAGAGGAGGAACCTGCAGCATGAGGGGTCCACTGGCACCGACAGGCGTTTTTGGTCCAGTTGGGTGAACCAATCGCCTTTCATCAGAAGGTCTCAAAGTAGATGAATTCCTTCCATTTTGAAATGGCGGTAAACCACGAAGGAATTAAGCTGTCTCAAGTTTATGACCAGACGGAAGTCTCCAGTCTTTTTCTGAACCAGGAAAATGTTGCAGACGAAGTCGCCGTCGTCCTTGGCGTATTGCACAGGGCCTTTGGAGAACAGCGAGCAGACTTCTTCGTCTATAGAAACCTCATGATCCTTGGAAACCCGAAGTGGTGGTAGGAAGCATCGTTGATGACGAGGAGTGCAGAATCCACGCTCTTCCCAGTTCTGCAAGAAATGGGACAGTCTGACTGCAGTGATAGTATCGGTCTAAGAAATAAAATGTCTTCGGCCTCTGCCCCGTGATCCTCTGGATCTGGAGGCACCCATATAGAAGGACGTTGTCCGAGGTGCTGAGGGAGGGTAGAAGGAGGTTGATGGTGGGTTGTGTCTGGAACCAGTGAACCAGAAGTGGCTTGTGGCCCGGCTCCATTGCCGACCAGCCCATCCAAAAACACCCCTCATCAGAGGTGAGCAGAACACCTGTTGTAGGGATGACTGTGTTTTATTGAGGGTCGTGAATAATGATATGTGTCTTTTTATTTCAGCAATGAATGAGTCGCCAAATAGGAGGCCATTTGCCGTTGAGCCCAATTCCTTGGAAGCGATATTCATCAATTTTGTATCAATGCATAGGAGGGCAGCCTTGTGCCTTTCGGTGCATAATGCGGTATTAGTGTTGCCAAGCATGCAAATGCCGCTTTGGGCCCATTCATGGATTGCACCTGGGTCAAGTTGAGTGCCTTGGGCTATTGCAAGGTCTGCAAAGTACAGTATCTTGCCAAGTGGATCTAGTAGGTCTAGCAACTTATCTTGTGTCACTTTGAGTCCTCTTTCAATACCCTTGTGAGGGTCGCATCCCGTCCGGGACATGAACACCACCATCGTTTCGTCAAATACGAGAGTCACAGCGATCTTGTCCGGAAGCATGGGTCGGGGGCATTTCGCCCGCAAACAAATTCGTACTACACGGTCCAGTGGCTTCCTGAGCCAAAAATGGATGAACTTTGTCAGGTGTGTCGGAAGGCTCCATTCAGAGGACCTGGGGTGTCTGATGGTCCTTGGGTCAAATAACGGGCAGCCATTAGTGTCCAGGAACAGCCCCTCGCTTTCCGAGGCAAAGTTGTCTCATTGCGTGGGAAAGATCCCTCTGCGTAGTCGTCACCCGTGAATTTGGAGTCCGAGAACAGCACATCTTGCCAGTCGTCATCTCGGTCAGATTCAGAGTCTTCTGCCCGCCATTCGTCTAACACGTCTAGTGACGTGAGTAGGTAGTCGTCATCTTCCCCAGATGATAGTGTAAGAGGGGTGATGTTCGGGCAGTGCCATGTGTCTGGGGCGTTTGATCGGCCCCTTACCCTTACTAATAGGGCCCACTAAGTCATTTTTGTGTCATTTGGGCAAAGGCGGTAGGTCCTTGACAGACGCTTCCGGGCCCACAATATCCTCTGTGTCTTGGGCTGTCATCCCTATTGGTTGGGTGGGATTTTCTGGAGGAAGGTGCGTCAGTATCTTTGAAATGGCCTTTTCCATGGAGGCCGAAACTGCAGCGTTGATTATGGACTGGAAGTGATGAGTATGCTGTGGTGAGTCTGACATGGTGCACCACGGGTCATCCTGTAGAGGAGAGGACACCGTTAGACAGCTTGTTACAAGCCAGGCCTGTCAGAGGGGGCCCCGCGCAATGTATAGATTGGGGCTTGCCAAAGAGGCCATATGCTTTTATATATATATATATATATATATATATATATATATATATATATATATATAGGCCTTGGCTGCAGTGCCGGTTGAAAGAGTAACAAATAAACAAAAGGGGTTGATACCCTTGTGAATATGGGGAGGCTCCAATAGCCAGAGGGGGAGAAAGCCCCTAAGTTCCCATCATGTCGGGGAGGTAGCAATAATGGGGGCTCACCCCAAACAATATATCTGAGTTTGGTAATGCTAGCAGGGGGCTCACTCCTGCACGCAGCTGTATCAGACTGCACTAACAGGCACAATATCAGTCCATACAATGTACTTGCATAATACACAGCAGTTGACAGTGTAACCCTCTGAGAATATGAGGCAGACACTTAAACCACCATATACAAGCCAATGGTCATATGCAGCATATAGCGTGGTCCTGACACTTGCAGGATGATCTGTGCGGTATGCAGAGCTGATCTGACAGAAATCAGACAGGTAGGTGAAATACAGGTGAGAAAATGCGGCCTGTAACGAAATCCAAGATGGCCGCTGTGAATCTCGCTATCTCGCGAGATTCAAGATGGTGGGTCCTAGCAGTGTGGAGATATCGCAAGCGCCCCTACCACACGGCTATAAACCACTCCCCCCACAGACACCGCTGTGGGACAGGTTCCCTGTGAGAGAATTGTGACAGGCCCCAAGCAGGGGGGGACAGAAAGCAAGGTGGATATAAGGAGCAATTAAATATTAGCTAGAAGGTTAGATAAGGTTACAGTTATAGAAAAGCATATGAAACTGACAGGCAACCATATATAAATCAACTAAGAAATGAAATAAATGCTGTAAAGTCTAACAGCAGGAGTGAGTACTCTGACCTGAACCCTGCTGGAGCAGCAAATAAAAAGGAAGTGTGTGGGCGGACTTAGACTTATATACTCTGTTTCTTCATTCTGATTGGTTGATCTTTATATTGAGCTTGCTGATGGCGTAAAAATAAAGAAAGTTAATGCAAAATAAGAAGCCTCCTGTCATGTGGTAAAATTCACATTTTCAGCCATTCGTCCGAATAACGAATGAGGAGCAGAACAAACAAACAAAGGAATGGGCACCTAACAAACTTTTTCCATGTGCCATTCGTTTGTTCGTTCATTCACAATTCACGTTCGCCCTTTTGTATTGGACTGTCTGCAATTCAAAAGTCTGAACGCTTCATTTAAATGCACGGATGGCTCATTCTTTTGTTGAGCCATTCGTTCTTTCTGCTCATTCCCATCACATCTGATGGGAGTGAACCAAACTAACGATTGAGCCTCAAATTAAACAGCCATTTGTGCATTTGGATAAATTCCAACGATACAAAATAAGACATGGAATAATGTGGATTAAATCAATAGATTAAAATCGATGGGATTTTTTTTTCCAAGTTCATTTTTTTGCGTTCAAGTCTTTTTTATTTTATTAATTCGACAGGATTTATGGATTTTTATTTGGCCTTTGTGGGGGCTGAAAAAAGAAGGCTGAATAAAAAAATTAAGACATCTAATGGTAAGTGGACCCAGGACATACTTGAAAAAGAGAGAAATCTCAATGTATCCTTCCTGATAATATATTTTATAAAGAAATATATAAGTAGGGATGTTTTATTTTACAGGTATTTAGTTTATTGTCTCCTCACTATTGTTAGAGTTGCAATGGCTGGGGGCCAGGGTGGGGGGCATAACAAGACCCTTGTTTAGTTTAATAGACCCCACAGATGGGGGCTGGCACGGGACACTATGTCCATCTCTCAATAATGATTTAGATTTTTCATTTATTTTTACATGCCCCTACTTGCAGCATAGCGAGTAGGGGCAGAAGGAAGGGTATAACCTCCCTTATTTACTAATAATAAGTAATTTTTTAGTAGATAGTTTCCAAATACTTGTGGGATTTGGGGGGCTATTTAATAAACGGCTGCAAGATGTAGCCGTGACCTGAATTGGAATTATGCACAAACTTCGTCCGCAAACGAATGAGGAAATGGTAGAAATAAGTTTCGGACAAAACGAAAATTTCCCCTATGCCCAAGTCCGTTATGTATACGTACATTTCTGTGCTAGATGCTACAGAATTCTGGATTCCATATCTCCGTTCCAAAAAATGTAAGGGACAACACGACAGCCTAAACAGCACCTGGCCTGTGGTATATGAGCAGATTATTTATAGTTAGTATAACCATGGGTAGCACTCTTTTATTTAAAATAAATAAATAAATGGTCATATCAGATTCCCATAGAATGATGCTCAGTGACACATATGTTATAAGTGAAACTTCTAATGTAAGTAAATAATGGAAGTACAGAACTACTGATGTGCTAACTCAAGGTTCTTAAAAAAAAAATAAAAAAAAATTAAACAGCTGGGATAGAGACAAATGGGCTGCTACACAAGCATACCCCACCACCAAATCTGCATTTGACAAATTGTTAGAATAATCTGCTAAACCTAGAGGCTTCCTTTTGCACCCCATGAACCCCATGTGATCTCCTTAGGGAGACAGTTTAAGTCTTTACTAAAAAGTGTACACCTATAGAGTCACCTTGCACAGATGCTGATGGCTTGGAAGTAAAGTAGCCTTGTGAAGAAGAGAAAGAAAGTGTGAGCAACTGACTTATGTCTCCTGACACTATTCTCTATATTTTATTTTCTCACATAATTTGTATCGATCCATTGTACAACATTTTCTAAATAAAGATTTCTTTAGAAAATAAAATAAAACTACATGTTTCCAATGTTTCCACTGCTTCCAGCACGAGGGAGTAAAGCAGAGATTACCCTATAAAAACCGGGTGGCATAGCACCTGTGCAATATTGTATATGTTATATGCTTATTGTTTGGAATGTATTTAATACATGTTATCCTTTATGCACATGTTGGAAAATGCATTTAATACTTGCATACCCACAAAAATAAAGAATTCAAAAAAAAATAAAAAAATAAAATAAAGTGTATTCATTGTTCCAGAGTGTGGTCATGAATGGTAATCGATGCAGTACCTCCAAATCCCTTTAAAGGAAACAATAACAGCTTGGAATCATAACAAATTAGAATTAAGTTGTTATGGTGTGATGAGGTCGCAGGCACCGGGTTACCTGTAGTGGTGTGAGTGCCCTTTAAGTTTTAATCGTGCAATCTAAAATATTGCAGTTTCAGATATACTGCTGTTGTGTTATGATTGCAGGGTTATTTCCCAACAGCCACTACAGGCCGTTTCCCCTGTACGTTTCCCTAGGTCATGCGACGTTTGACGTAATCATACCTTGCATGGGGATATTGAATTTCATCAAAGCTTCATCGAAGCTTTAGATTCAAGAAGCAACGCTTAGCACGCATTCACATATCTTCCCCAATGCTGCTCTTTGAGAAGCATTATATGATCCTGGTGGAAGCGACACGAATTCCCAGCAGAATACTAGTGAAGTAGTGATTACAGCTCCCAATTCTTTCAAACATGAGTCAAGACTTCATGAAGGGATAAAACGATCTGGTTTATTGTTGGCCAAACTCAGCCCTTTTATGATGGTCTCCCAGCAAGGGAACTCCCACAGGGGACCTGGAGCAGATGCCTACAGCCAGCACAGATCAGCCAGGGAAGTCGGCCCCTCCTAAAGATGTTAGGAGGAGGGGGCGTGACTTCCACTGCTCTTCTCCCAAACTCCCCAACGGATTGCAGATTGCGAATTGCTGGGGAGTCTGGAAGAGCAGGGAAAGTTACGACCCCTCCTCTTGACATCATCAGGAGGGGCCGGCCGACTTCCCTGGCTGCTCTGTTCTGGCCGACTGCAGGGTGGCAGCAGGTAATGTAAAAAATCTGAGTCATTCGGATTTTTGCGCCGGCATTACAGTGCAGCACAGAGCCTCAATTTTGAGGCTTGATTAGGCTGTGCTCAGGCACACCTGGTACACCCCATGCGCACGCTTATGGGTCCCAACCGGATGTATAACTGTATTAGGGGTTATATATAAATAGTACTTCTGAAAGAATAACCAGGAACATTCCACTGGTTTCCCTGTTAACTGCCTAATTTTGTTAACTTTGCCCCTAAATTACTTTTGATACAATGCAGTTTTGCGTAATACATTACATACTTAAACCAACCTGCACTGTATATGTTTCTTCAGGTGGCAGTAAAAGGTTTCATAGTCATCCTCTTTTTATAAATTACAACAAACACCTCTGTGCTCTTGTGGCCCTTAGTTATTAAAGCCTCTCAGACATAAAATGCTTGTGGCTAAATGCAGAAATGCCAAACCATGTTTTGGTCTCTTGAATGTATTTAAAGGGACACTCTGGGCACCATAAAAAACTCTTCTGAGTTTAGTTGTTATGAACTTCTGCTCAATGTTCCCAGACACACTTAGTAGCTCCCCATTGAAAAAAAAAAAGTACTTTTTTTACTTGCTGTTCTCAATTTTTAGCTGCTGGTAGGTTAAACATGTATTCATAATACTATAGTGTTATACTCCATGTTAACATTTAGCCCCCACCCCAACTGCAATAAAAAATATGAAACAAAGAATATTAATTACCTTTTTCCAGCACTGACACTCACTTGGTGCTGCCAACTGCTCCTCCTACCGCAACTTCACCCGGGAGGTGTCGCTTCCACCATGATCATATAATGCTTATCAAAGAGCAGCATTGGGGAATATATGTGAATGCGTGCTAAGCGTTGAAAGTATGTCCAATTAACTGCTTCTTGAATCTAAAGCTTCTCTTTGATGAAATTCAATATCCCCATGCAAGGTATGAGTACGTCAGGATATATATATACACACACAAATACACTCTTGCATACATACATACATACATACATACACAGACCTGCACTCATATAAATATCAAAATAAACAAACATTTAGCTACACAGGCAAATGATCA